TCAGCTTTTAAAACAATCAACAGAGTGTGATTGACAAAGCTGAAATTTCATTAAAAGATTAAACTCCTGTTGGATAGGTTAATAATGCCATCACGCCATAGAAATGCCTGTGTTTAGTGTGCCTTACGCTGCTACCTTTTTGTACAGTGGCTGCATGGGACAGATTAAAAGCAAACTCTGCACAAGTCATAACTTACAGCATCATTTTACAACCCTAATGTTTGAATGTCAACGCTGTGGCACCGTTTTGTGTCACAAATCATTAGACAGAATGGCCCACTGTTTCCCTAACTGTGAAAGTAATCGAAATATTAAAGGTTTACTATGAATTGTGGTAAAACTGAATATATTTAGGTAAGTTACAGGTCAGTATTTTATATATAAGATGTAATGATTTTATAAATATGATATATTAGTTCAGGGTAAAGTAACCAACAGTGTATGAAGTTGACAAAATTACCACCAGTAGAAAAATGCCACTCCTCATATACTTTTTCCCCTTATTGTTTGTCATATCTGTAGAGACTGTCCATATTAAACACAGCCGAAGTTTGAAATAATGAGCTCATAGTCTGAAGCTCAGGCTTTGACGGGCTTGAAACGCAAGTTTTACAAAAGGATTTTTTCCACTCTCTTGCCTTGCTGATGTCAGCACTGCACCGATGTCCTGGCACAACCAGAGCCACGGCCCGACCTCCTGTAGGAGGCGGGGCTTTGAAGTCTGTTTGCAGAAACCAGCAAGTACCAACCAATCAGAAAAATGAAAGCAATTAAAACAGGTTCACACAGAATTTTTCATAATAATAATGTTTCATAATCTTCTAAGAGATATTGTGAATTAATTTAGGACTAGGGCTGTTCGATATAACGATATATATCGGATGACGATATAAAAATGTCTATCGTTTCATTTTACGCTATCGTTTGTTTCGTGGTGTCGCAAAATGAACTGTTTACAGCAATATTTTTTCATTGTTTTGATGGTCACTGTAGTGGCTATATTAATTTCCTAAAGTTCTCTCTTTCTCTTATATTTAATATAACCACACTATGGACAGACAAGCGCCTGTTTTTATGCGTTGTGGTTAGCAACAAAGACAGTAACACCATCGCGTGTCCTCTTGTTTATGTTCCACATAAACCTTTCACAATAAAGCTCAAGATCCTGTTGAGACTTTTCAAAATAAACTGAACCAAGTGAAAGAGCAGATTTTTACGGATGAGAAGTAAAAAAGAGCCGCCAGGTGCTAAAAAATAAACCTTAGACTCAAATGTTAGAACAGGCTTTTATTACACAGCACGCCTAATAAATACTCACAAAGAAAGCCGTTACAACTTATGTCTAAAAATGTATTGTTTCATGCATCTGTTAAAACACTCGACTCCAGCTACATGACGCGCAGCTGGAAACACTTCCCGCAAGTCGAGCTGCCCGAGATTCACAGAATTTACAGAAAATGTTACATTTTTGTGATTTATATCGTTATCGGATGATAGAATTCTTATATCGGGATATGAGATTTTGGTCATATCGCACAGTCCTATTTAGGACTTAAAGTCACTATGGGTTACAGTTAGTGCTTGCTGTTAAACTCTATATTCGGACATCACTGACAGCAGAAAGAAAGTCCCAATACCAGTGCAGCCAATCAAATCATCAACAATTAGATGATAAGGTGTGACTACAGTGACAGCAGCGACTCCTCTAAGCTACTCCTCTGGATTACTGATGAGAAAGTAAAGCCTGTAGCAACTTTGAAAGTGAGGTTTTGGCACTTTATTGATTCCTCTTGGAAGTAGTGACTATCATCATTGAAATGCTGCATCATGTTAAACGTCTTACATACAGTGATTCAAATATCTCTATTTTGCTTATAGGAATGGTTGTAACTGCTGAGGATGTTTACTCTGCACTCTCAAACATGTCATGTGATCGCTGTACTTGTGTGCTGCTAGCCTTATATGCTGTTTTTCTCCCCCAATAGTGCTCTAATGGCTGCTGTATGCTCCTGGCTAAGTCTTGAGGCTATGACACATGGGCAACATTTAGATGTCAAAAGCATGAAATATATAGATAGTTACAGTGTTAAAGTCGAGTCACCAGACCCAAGTCGAGCCCCAGGTGTTCAGTATTATGGTGTTAAACATTAAAGTCAGAGTTACGTTTAAGTCACAAATGGAACGACTACAGTATACACAGGGCACACAGGAGTAACAGTTTGAGTTCCAACTCAGTAAAAACACGTCTGCAGTGTTATCATCACTCCAAACTTGTCCCATTTACTTTATTCAGGGCTTATAAGATTGAGTTAGCATGGCCATTGTCTGACTTTAAAGGAGTCACCTCAATACACGTATGACTAACATTTAAGTTCAAATTCATTCATAAAGGATCAAAATTAGAATTAGCAGAGGTTACAAGTCCACGGCCCAATTAATAAAACACTGACTCGCTATCACTGTGATGACACAGATCAGGCGGAACTAAAACATGCTCACTGACTCATTGTTGTAGTTGCCCATCTTCATTTTCATCAAGATGCTGCCTGTTTTATCTCTTACTCTGACTTTTCTTGATGCATCAGTACTGTACATGGCTTCACTCAAACCCACACGGATTAATATGCACCATGTCAGCTAAGCAGTATTTATGGAGCGCTGAGGACACATGCAGAGATGGAGAACGATCATGAATACATTAAATGGTTGCCCGCAGTGTGGATTATGTGGTTGTCAAGCACAAGATAGCTAGGGTGGAGACTACCGAAAGTGTGCACTACACAGAAGAAATCCAAATGGAGCTTTATCATTCTGTTTAATATCAGGCAAGGCACAAAATACAGGCAGGCTCTTTGTTGTTATATAGATGAGCATGTAGCTTTCAGCCCTGCAGTAAGCATCAGTATAACAAAACATACAGCTGGCGTTGCTGAGAAACTTTAATTTAGACAAATTTTGTTGCTTGAAGTGATCGTTTAACAAATTCTGCTTCTTCACATTTTTGATTTTATACGTTTTTGTTTTTAGGTTCTGATGGCAAGCGTGTGGATAGTTAACAGTGCCAGCACAAGTTCAGTTGTAGCAAAAAACAAATGAGCCCTTAGTTTGTATAAAGAGTTTGTTGATATGATTTTAAATCAATATGTAAACTTTTCTTTTTTTTTTACTTTTCATTCATTATTTTGAAATATTTTATTTTTAATTTAAAAAAGTTTTTTTCTATGTCTGTTTGTTTGCATTTACACAAACATATGGTTTCACATTTTTGGTTGTCATTGTAATAATTGTGACAAATAAAGTTTGAAGAAGATGGGATACTGTGGTTTGTCACCTCCCAATTGTAAGTAACTGTATGATATCACAGTTCATTGGATTTAATGCTTAGCTTAAACTAGATTCTTCCTCTTTTCAGCAGATGCATTAAATTACATGAATAAACCCCGACAAGCACCCTAACCACTAACAAAAAAACATGATTTATAAGCTATTGTTGATTTCAGTAAAGACCCTGAAAAAGTTCACTTAGAGTCTGGGTGGTTGACTCGCATGCCATAATCGCTACACATGTTCCTGTATACTATGCCAGCTACTTGGTGACGGCGTTCCATGTATGCCTTGCATGCTAGCATCTTGCACCCTGCTGTTATGTACTAGATTGTCTCAGTGACATTTTTACACTGCTTGTATTTGGGGTCTTGCCTGGTATGGCATTTAAACTTCTCTAACTGTCCTCTAGCCGCTACTTAAGATCAGAGTCTAAAAATGAATCATGAATACATACTTTGGTTAAAACAGTGTCTGCATCTGCATTTCTGATAATTTTCACTTAAATCAGAGTAAATATCATATTCTGGGGAGTTTATTTTCAGATGCGGATTTGGTAATCTAGTTATCCAGAAGCAGGGTGTGTGATCAAATCACAGACTACCATATTTGTTAGAAAATGTCAGCCAATGTGGCTTTGTGGCACAAGGAACAAGATATTTCAGGCCTGAGTGATTCTTAAATCGAATCTGTATAAGCTGTTCTGAGTTTTTTGTTTTTTCTCTTTATAGAACAATTTTCAAATAAATTAATGGGTATTATTTTCAAATAATATTCATCAAATTATCCAAGCAGCAAAGAATAACAGCACACAACACACAACAGATTTTATAAATACAGGAAAACTCTCCAGCAATCAAAATATTATTACAGAAGAATTCGAGAAGTTTATTCTATATTAATAGACCAAGCTTAACGATATCATATTTGGTCCAAGTAAAGTTATCAACAGTAAGTTATTAAATATAATCAGGCAAGTCACAGACACCTAAACTTCTTCGCTCTACCTCCACACGGGTCCTTTAAGCTAACGCTAATGCTAGTTAGCTACGTACGCAGTCGGTTGATGAAACGGAGATGATACCGGTGGTTTATTTTTGCTGAGAATGAGCTCAAAACATGTCAGGTTTGTTTTATAATAATTTATAGTTGGATTGTAATACAGGTGGCCACCTTTACAGACTCTGGTTTTTCTCGATAGCGGAAGCAAGCGTTTGTTTTCCAAGCTAACTTAGCTGGTTAGCCTCAGGTGCATGCTGTTGTTAATGCAGTCCTCCGTTCACAGCTAGCGCTACACGGGGGCCTGTCCCATTACTTACAGGGTGTCTACACCAAGACTCAAATATTGTCTTTTTTGGTACAAACAAATCGGACTTTTTCATTTTTTAATGATTGTTTAAAAAGCAGCTTTTAGCTAACGAACGTTACCGCCCACTGCAATGTGTTTTCGCGGAACAGGTTAGCCGGATAAATCCATTTAATTACACTCTAATAAAAACAACTCGCTGCACGTACAGTGTATCAAAAGCAAGAATATTTAGCCATGTTGTGGTCTACGCTTTTTCTCCCAGATTTGTCTGGCAACGTTAAATTGGTCCATTATTGTTTTTCAAATAGTCTGATTTGCCCTTTCTAGACTCTAGAGAAGTCTTACCCGGAGAGGATCACTGTATGAAAACTAAATTTCCTCTATTAACACGAAGGCTAACTAGGTAGCAAAGCGTAAGAGCTGCCCTTGAATTGAACGAATGTTAATCAAAGCAGCAGGCATTTAAGCAGAGGGTTAACAGCAGCGACATTCATAACGTCGTAGGTATATTTTAAAGTTAGGTGGTCATGTGGCAGTCGGAGAGCGAGCAGCTGTCCCTGACAGTCAGCTAGTGGCAGCTGGTTTAGTTATTGAAAGAAAGCAGCCACTGTCGTGTTAAACCCAGCGCACGTTGATTATTTTTTTTCCACATTAAATAAGGCGAAGTAAGTTTTGTTAATGTGCTTGGAGGCCTAAAGATAACCACGCAGGTAGTTAACATTAGCCGAGCAGCTGATCTCGGTGTGTTAGGCCCTTTAAGGAAGTTGGCACACTAATAGTTGAGTAAATGTTTACTTTCGGGAGGCTGTAACAAGTACTGGGTCACTGATTAGGATTTTGAGTGAGGCAAGTCTCACTCCTCACATTCGTGCTACACTTACCTGCCTGGTGTTTTGCACCCCAGTTTGCATGTTAGCTGTTTTGAATGTTATGTTTTTCTAATTTAACTTTAACTTGTGTCTTGGAGTGTTTGTGTACCCACGTTTAATATTTGCCAAACATGCAGCCATGTGAATATTACTAAAGAAGTGGTTCTAATAATATTACCATTCAAGAGCTGGCTTGAAGAGGAGGTGAGAAGGAAACTCAACTGTTGTCATGTTTTATGTAGGGGAAAACACTTTATTTTTCTTCATATCTCCTGAATTATTTATTGACACAAAACAACAAATAGTTCCAAAACAGCATCTATAAAAAGTGTGAATTAAATAAAACTTTTTTTCTTTTTACATTTATTTGAAAATAAAAACAAAAAAGGTCCATCACAGTTATGCTGACATATAGAAAGATCAGTTTTTTTATGTGGGCTTTGACATACTGAAACCTAAAATATGTTTTTCTTTATCAAGAAGCTGAAAATAACAGGAAACGTAAGATAAACAGACTCTGACTGTATGAAGCTAGATTGTCTCGTCACTCCCCAAAAGCCCGTTTTAAAATAGAGGAAGCTCAGATAGATATGTTTGCCCAGATTATGAGTCTTCTAACTTTTCTTTTCACCGTCCTGTGCAGGGATGATCTGATGGTAACATCTGGCTGCTTTGACATCTTTCTGCATCATCCCAGCTCTGTTGGATAGAGGAACGCTCCCACATCTGCGAAGAGCTGTTGTCATCTCCACTCTGAACCTATCAGAGACCCTTCATTCATAGATCTGAAACAGAAAACATCTTCTGCCTCCTTCCAAAAAGAGACAATGTATTGCCTTCAATGGCTGCTCCCTGTGCTGCTCATCCCCAAGCCGCTGAACCCAGCTCTGTGGTTCAACCACTCCATGTTCATGGGGTTCTACCTGCTCAGCTTCCTGCTGGAGAGAAAGCCCTGCACCATCTGTGCCTTGGTCTTCCTGGCTGCCCTCTTCCTCATCTGCTACAGTTGCTGGGGCAACTGCTTCCTTTATCACTGCCAGGATGCTGCACTCCCGGATGCTGCCCACGACCCAGCCATTGTTGGGACCTAGGAGAGGAGGAGCACCAGCAGCAGCAACACCAGGAAGTGGAGGTGGGGGGAGCAGGAGTATAAGGCAATGCTGAGAAATTATTGTAGAAAGATACTGCCATGCTTAGAGTGGTGAAAATTGCTGGAGGGGAATACCAAGAGTGTTCAGCCAAAGACAAACTAAAGAAGAAGAGCTGGTCTTGGAGGGTTATGAACACTGTCTTTTCTTTTTTCTTTCTTAATGCTGTAAAGAAGAATTTGAGGAATGGGAAAGGGTGCCAGAGGTCACATTATGTGTCCTATTATCTAACAGGTAGCAAAGGCGAGGGATCCAAACTTGAAATGAAAAGGGAAGGACATGCATGAACTTGACTTGATGCTGAGGGAAAAAGAATTTCACATTGACCAACTTTCATTCCAGCACATGAATGAAAAATTAAAAAAAAGTATACAGTATAAACTACATGTGACATTAACTTAAAGTCACAGGGGTGGGTGCTTTGCATTATGCTAACTTGTCTGTTCCTTGTGTCTTAGCTACTGCCAAACGGAGGATGGGAGAGAAAGCTGCTCAAAACCTCTGAGGTTTTTATAGTGGGATGGAAAATCCTCCATGGTGGCAGAGGAGGAAAGGTTTCTGGGTGAAGGGAAGTGAGAGGATGCAAGGAAACGTAAACTAGCATAACGAAAATCCCTCTCCAGTTCAGTGTTCCGATTTAAGAGATTTCACTTTCTCCCCAAACCCGATCGCTCATCTTTTTAAACTGAAAATACTTTGCTCCTTAAAACTGCCAAAATCACTTAACCCCTCTGAAAACTGCTATGGCAGCCACGATCACTTGCTCAACAAACTTTATACGCCAGGTAGTGTTAAACTGTAGTCAAAAACAAGAGCGTCACACCCCTGACAGCCCTGGATGGCCAAACTCTGTCGCCACTTTGGCTCTGCACACGTAATGCTCCACAAGGCGAGTACACAGACACTGGACAATCAGTAACTACGCTGTGAATATGTCCCCCCTTTGCCGCACTTCTACTCAAACACACCTCAAACAGGTGAACTAGAGCTGAGGACCTACGATGTTATTACCCGCTGTGCTCTACAGCTGCTCCTCATCGTCCTGCCTCAGTGTGACCTTCCCTACTGCCATCTGATCTTTTTTGTTTCTGTTCTTTTTCTTTTGCAGTTTGCATGAGTTGCTCTAAGTTTTTTTTTTTTTTTTTTTTTTTTTTTTTTTTTTTTTTCCCCCCCCCAAGCGTCAAGGTGACACCCAAATTTTTAATAAGTTAAAAACGCTGAAAGTTTCCAAAGGGTAGAAAAATCTGGATGTGTAGTTGAATGAAAGTTTTCTGTAATGTGCTATGGGTGTGCATTCTTTGTGGTCATGACATGCTGATCAGTGTAAAAATGTGGCAATACACAAGGAGACACAACGGCTATGGTCAGCATTTCCAGCAACAATGAGCAATACAGAGTGCAGGCTGAAGAACTGATTTAAAAATTTCACAGGGGATTGGAGTTTCCACAGGTGTCACTGCTGTAAGTGTTAAGTTTAGCTGTCAGACACAGGCTAAGGTGTTTATACTCTGTACCTGTTGGAATGTGTGTGTGCGCGCGCGTGTGTGTGGCCTCCTGTGGCAGTGCTCATTGCGTTCACTGCAACATATTTGCTTTGGTTTTAATTTAAATAAAGTTTTCCCTCTTATGTGTTAAACTGTGAGGTTCTGTGTCAAACAAAAAAACGTATTTTGATTAAAAAATAAATGCAAGTAAGAGTTGTGCTTTGCATTTTGCTGTTTTTGTTTTGTTTGTTTGTTTCTGTAGGAAAATCGTGTTGCAAATAGTTTTTGCATATTTGTCACATCATTAAATGTAAGTATTAGACAAAGATGACACATTAAATATAAAGTGCAGTTTTAAAATGATTCCACGTGTCAAGAGAAAAAAAGTGATCCAGACCTATCTGTAGTTGTAATGCCAAAACTGGGCTCCAGCAGATTCCAGGGACAAATCAGATATCGCTGTCCAGGAGAGTGCAGGCTTAGGACAGCTAAAATGCTGTGCAGGGTCCTCAGACTCCTGAGCTTGAGGAACACACATGCTCCAACTCACACCGACTGAGCAGGCTACCTGTTCAGTTGCTCAGTGCAATTATTGAATCAACCAATCACATGGCAGCAAGTCAGTTAGGCATGCAGACATGCTGAAGATGAACTCCTAAGAAACTCAGCACCAGAATGGTGAAGTAATTCAGAGTTGGTGACAGGATGAGCTACATGTTGGTGATATACTGGTGTTTCCCCACTCAACCATCTTTACGGTTTTCAGAGAATGGTGCAAAGAGGCAAAAATATTTAGTCCAATCCACATCATTGATGTTGGAGAATGACCAGACCGCTTTGAGCTGAAAGGGAGACAACAGTAACTCATGTAACCACACTTACAATCAAGGTATGCAGAAGAGCATCTCTACAGCAGCAGAAGACCACACCAGGTATTAGCTATTAACAGGACCCTGAATTCACAGGGATTCATCAGAAATGGACAGAAGATTGGAAAAATGTTGCCTGTTGCAACAGGCTGCGACATTTGGATAGTAGGATCAGAATTAATAACACAGGGGTGCGGCTCCATCCTACCTTGTATCGGTAGCTCAGATTGGTAGAAGCGGAGTGATGGAATCAGGTATAATTAGTACAATTTGGCCTCTTAGTATCAACTGATCATTGATTAAACATCACAGCTTACCTGGGCGTTGTTGCTCACCATCTTCTCATGGTAGCTTCCTGCAGGAAGACTGTATTATGCTAATTGATTTTGGTCGTGGTGCACCCTGCAAATAGCCTGTTTACTAAAAACACGTGTGACCAGTGGAAGCATGGTTTCATGTTATATGGAGCACTGTTGTACACGGTTCAAACAGGTTGACTAATGATGGGAAACTAGAACTGGAAGTGGTTTTCATATGATGATAATGATGCAACTGAACTGCAAGCAAAGCAAAGGATGTGCTCCTATTCCTCAAAGCAATTAGCATCAGCTTTCACCTCCTTTTCTGTTTTCTTGCTCCTGAAAGAGCTCAGAAAGTATCGCCTGTTTACAAATCAAACACTGATGCACAATGAATTCATAATTCTTCAAAGAAACTGGAGCTCCTGTATTTTTTTCAACATTTGTGATTTAAAAATGTGAATGTTTCTCCATTGTATGCCACAAACTGGGTTTCTTTAAAAACACAATTGATTCTTGAAGATGAAAAGACATCTTCAAAGAAATCTTTTTTTTATTACATAAAAAAATATTGTTTATCATGTTTCCCAGGCCAGAGTGCAGCCTTTACATTTACAACAGCAGAGCAAGTCCAAGTTAAAGTCAGACAACATAAGTATCTTTCACAATCAGACCTACAGACCTCTGTGTTCATAAACCAGACTAAATACATGACCTACTCTCCATGACTGTACACATCAAAACTAACCAACCATTCCTTATTTGATTTTAAATCATCTGTGGAGATGATGTAATTATTACTATTGCAGTTTTATTTTATTTGAACATATCTGCCATGCTGTATTTCTTCTAGAATTCTAGAAATGAACTTAAATTGTCACTTTTTAACTTTTTTTTATTGTAGAGGTTAATTTATATTATTTATATTTAATTTTTCATTTAGTGTTTGAAAAAGAGGGCGGGCAATTTTTAAAAAAATATTTCATATACTTTCTCAGCACACTTTTTTTCCACTTGTGTAAATATGGTATGCACCAGAAAGTCTTAAATACATCTCAGTAACCCTTTATACACAGATGCAGTACTGCTCTTCTTTTGTGCTTGCTCCTGTTTGTTCTTGCCTGTCTCTGTCTTTTTCTTCCTCTCTGTGGGTACAGTCCACCAGATTAATCAACCTGCACACCTGAGCCTTATCCTTCCCAGCTCCTCCACTGGCTGTGATATAGTTTGGTCACTCATGTCGTGACCATGCTTCGACCACCTTTCAGTCTTGTGGTTTTTCTGTGCTTTGGGTTTGAGGTAACTCGTCTCTCCCTGTGCTTCAGGTTTTCCTGCTCAGCTGTGGTTAAATATTGATCTCAGATGCCCACACCAAGTTTTTGAACTGAATCTGTTTTTCCTGCTCCGCTGCCATCTCCAGATCGGCAAGTCTCCTCAGTTCATTCTTTAAGTGCAATAAATCTGGCTCAAAATAAACTGAAATTCAGTTTCCATGTCCTGCTGTTAGCTCTGGGTACACAGTTCAAAGAAATCACCAAAGTCTGACACACAGATGGAAAAAATGAGATGAGTTTCACGGCTGGAATCACCAATTTTAGGAACAAATAATTGCAAGTCTTAATTTTTATGCCGAGCAGAAAGTTTTCACTTTGTCTTGTGTCTTATCTTATTCAACTTACTAAAAATATATATGTATATATATTTTTTACAAATCTGCCATTCAAGGGATTGTTTGATATGACCATGGCTAAATTAACCTTTTCAGGCATCTGGGGGGAAAATTATGGTTGCTAACAGATAAATTGAGATGATTTTAGCAAATGTCATAAATGTCAGCATGTTGCCTTGTTTGTTCACCTAGTGTGAGCACATTTATTCCTTCTGACCTTACTTCCTTTGCACTCCTGCTTGTTTCCAAAGCTTTCTCAGCACATTGATTTTTCCTCATTCTCAACCTTTTAAAAAGCAGCTTTGAAAACATTTTGATTTCAAAGATTCAGCACCTGGAAAACTACCAAAGACCAGCAAATAACTGGTGTTCAGTCAGACTGTGAGAGTTTTGCAAAAGAGGGGGCGAGGGTATGTCATCTGTGTACAAAGATGACTTTGAAATCTTTCCCTCTTGATTGTGTAAACTCTCCTGAAGTGCAAATCATGCACCATCTGGTTGTGTGGGAGGGGGCTAAAACAAAACACACAGAATTCAAACATGGTTAAAGCGTAGCTCTGCTTCTTACTGAAAACAGTTAAGATTTTGTAGGATTTTTCTTTGTTTTAGGAAGCTAAACGATTCTGCATCCTATTATCAACAAAACAACAGAAACAAACACTGTGTTCAATCCATGAAGCAGATTCTTCCAACATGATTCCTTAAAGTTGATGCAGAGTTCTCATGGCTGAAGAAAAATGTCATTTTATGCCACAACTTAAACTGCTTTGCTGTCATCATCTTTCTTCCCACGGCCTCGAAAACCGCCTGGTCAGTGAGGTCCTAGGTCACTCTAACCACAGCCAAATCTATTCTGTGGCAGGCAAACGTCTCCTCGGGTCCCTCTCCAGCTCAGTATATGTGAACAGCCAGCAGAGGTCAGCAGCGGTCTCCGTTTCTGTGATGGCACAAAGGCAGCAGACCAAATATTTTCCTTCACCAACGTGAACAATTTTGTCTAAACATCCATTTTGTCAAAGAAGAATTGGATAAAAGAGAATTTGGTATCATTTAAAACATTTGTATTTGTAGTATGAAAAAAAAAAAAAACCCCAAACAAACATCCGTCCTTGTTGGGATTTTGATAGAAAAGTCATGCTTCTCCTGTGAAAATGAAAAGGTCCACAGGTTTGCATGTAAAAATATATAAAAAAAGGAATTATTCTGAATATAAAACCTGGAAGATTGCATTTGTTTTCAGATATATTTGATTTTTTTTTCTCAATTAAGCCTTAAAAATGATTAGAAAAATGAGTAGTGTGACATAACTTGATTTGTAGACTCCTCTTGTTTAAAATTAATTCAAGACACAGCTCTCACAGGCAGGAGAGGCTGTTAATGTGGATTTCATTAATCTGCCAGGGTTTAATATTCATGTGATTTTTTTTTTGTTTTATTGTAGCTGATTATTGCTATAAACGAACACACACACACACACACACACACACACACACGCACACACACACACACACACACACACACACACACACACACACGCACGCTTGCAAGATTATGTAAAATAATATTATATTTATCCTTCATGTCCCAATAAGACAGTCATATCGACTGGTTGGTGAAATAACTCCCAGCACTAGAAAAAAGTCAGACTACAGCTGACGTCTTCTTTAAGAAAAACTCTACATATCTAACAAAAATAAATTCAAATTCTGAGTAAAACAATACAGGAGAAATAAGAAGTCATTAATCAACATCAGTGAGTGAATGATCCATCCAGGGAAAGCTGAAGTCTCCATCATGAGATCTTCCTCTGCAGTTGTTGAGGAAGATCTCGTAGCACACGCACCACAGATTCTTAAAAGAAAATTATGTTTTCCCAGAAGGTGCGACGTCCTGACAGGTTTGTAAACTTTCTCCATTTTGACATAGGCTTGGTTTTAGTCTCTTGGCCAGCATCATTACAACATTTGTGCCTATTCTTTGATCCAGATCTGTTTCCTAAAAAATCGTAATCTCAGTCTCTTGGTTCTGGTAAGCCTCATCCTGCATCTCAGTGTCTAGCTGGTCCATCCTCTGGTAGGCCTGGTATCCCTTTTTACCTGCAGACAGATTGAAAGAAAAAGTAATAAAAGAAATAAAAATACAATATAGGTATATAAAAAAAATAACCCTGTGATGAAAAGGGATAACGCTTGTACCAAAGGAGAGGACAGTTTCTCTGGCAGCACTACGCAGATCTTCATCTGTTGATCTCCATAAATCTGCTATGTGGTCCACACTCTCTGTCGCCTGACAGAAGAACACAAAACAAAAACAAACAAACAAACAAACACTTATGCTAGCTGATAAAAACCAGAGAGTTCTGAAAACAGGACTTCCGAGTGTTGCTGTGACTGTGTAGAGTTGTGTTCTGCTTACCCGGAGGCATTTGAGAGCCAAACAGGAGCTCTGCTGGATTTTAATATAATTGCTTTTCAGGCTTTCTGTGTAGTAAAGCACCGCCTGAAGAAGAAAGTACACACACACACACACACACACACACACACACACACACACACACGAGGTGTCACTTATGCTGCTGGATTGGCCTCATACACTGTATATAAAAGATGGCTGTGGCCACTGTAACATAACCCACTGGTTTAGTTTAGTGATGTTGCTGCCACCATGTTTTTGTTGTTGTTGTTGGGTTTTTTGGAGCCCGAAGTTACCACATCTGGAGAGGAGGGTGGAATGCTAACTTATCAGTTAATGCCAGCAAAATTATCAAGCTGCATTAATAAACTGAATGGTTGCAATACACGTAACTGTTAATTCTAACAGACTAAAAGCACTAACGATAACAGAAGCACATCTGTCTTTGTCGTACATCAAAGCAGACCATATTATATGTCAGATTACTCAATTGAAATAATTCAAAAGGCTCCAAACAGCACGTTAGATCTTCGGGAATCCAGTTGAGTGACTGGAATTAAAAGGTGGAGATGGCTACAGCTCCCACTACAAGCAACAATATCCTAACTTTAAGCCTTATCACTATGCAAATTTGACTTTTTATTAAAAAAAACCAAAAACTTTTATATGTTGCTATAAAAGGAAGAATCACTGACAAAGGCTAAAATGTTCTTTTATACCAGGCTGTAAGCATGCTTTTTTTAATGCTGTAAAGTTAGACATTTTGACATGGAAGTCAATGGGGATTGACTCATTTTTGGAACAAGCCTTAAGTTGTCATAAGAGTAACTGCAGTATAGCTTAATTTTTCAGCTCCAAGCACCACAAACTGTCGATATGACAATATTAACTACAGCAAATTAAGGTTCATGCAATGCTAGTAAAAGGGACAGTTAGGCCTGTGATAAACTAAAGCACCTTACAAGCTGTCGAGTCCAAGTCTACCCCACCTCTCACTCTCACACGTGGGATAAAGGCGCTGGTCATTTGTTTTATTGATATTCACACTGGTAGCCATAAACCAATGTTTTGGACCCCAAATCCTTCCCTAATATTAAGATGTGGATTTACATTGTAGCTGTCATATCAAAGTCCAATCAATAAAGTTCAAATCCTTCAGAAAGAATTATCCACTAAGTGTGCTATAAAAAAATTTCCTTAGAACTTATTAACCCGAGTTCCTCCAGTGGAAATGCACAGAGAGCTCCTTCACTGGCTTGCTGTAAAATACCTCATTAGTTTTAAAATTCTGCTTCTTACTTTCAAGTCTCTCCATAACCTCGCACCTCTACATCTCTCTGATTTTCTGCATGTTGCTCTTCCTTCCTGTATTGAGTTTTGATATTGTTATTATATCCATACTGTGATTTTAATATTTCATTGCTTGTAAGGTGTCTTTGAGTGTCTTGAAAGGGGCCTATAAATAAAATTTAGTATTATTATTAATCTCTGCAAAAGATGACTTGTTTTCATGTACCTTGTTCCTGAAGGCCTTGCAACCAGCAGCTCTGGAGATGCAGTTGGTGGCAGCTTTGCAGACTTTGTGGTTGGAGTCGATCTGCAGGGAGGCGAGAGTCTGCAGGGTGCATCCCAGTGGAAGTAGCTCTGTGATCTTCCGGCCCCTCAGCTTATTTAAAGCCCGCCGCCGTTTGGGGCTACTCAGGGCTGAGAGGATGTACTCTGAAATGCACCAATGAATAATAATGAACAACAAAATAATTAACAACATACCACTGAGTGAGCTGAGTGAGGGGGCTCACATCCATTTAGCAGCTTTCATTCAAATCTCATGATCTTTATGAAACGTACTTATTACTGTTGGCTGAAAAGTTTTAAAGTTCACCCTTTATGGAAACCGGTCAGGAAAAGGAGAGGAAAACGAGGACCGTTCATTTAATAATTATAATAATAATATTTTTGGTTTAACTGTTTCCTTCTCTTGGTGCTGTATTAACATTCTTACACATATTTGTGTGCACTGTCATGGTCCTGACTCTTTGTTCCAGTATTTTTGTTCCATTTCTGTTTTTTGTATTTTTGTTCTAGTTCTTGAGTAAGTTTGTCTATAGTTCTTGGTTTCTTAATTGACCAAATTAGTTTCCTTTTGTGCCCAGTCTGTCTCAGCCTCATCTCTGCATTTTGTCACCCTTTTTGTCTCCTCAGTCATGTCCCCGTCTTTGTCTGGTCTCCCTGTGTCCCGTCTCCGCGGATGTCTAGTAAACATGTCTTCAGTCCCGGTCCCTGTGTTTATCCCTTCCTGTTCCCATTATGATCTCTCTGTGTTTCATCCTTTTGTCTCCCCACTCAGTCATGTCTCTGGTCCCTGTGTCAAGTTTGCATTTCTTAGGCTGGGTCTCTGTGTGCATTACTTCCCATTTTATTTTGATAGTCCCCCATCTCGGGTGTGTGATGTTCAATTTTGGCTCCCCCGTCTCGTCAGATTCTGTTAAGCCCACTCTGCCCTCCCACTCTCTCCTCCTGTGGACATATCATCTGCCTCTCCCTTGTAGTGTGTGTAGCTTCCATTGGTCCATTTTGGCTCCCTATTCCTACCCAGCTCAGTCATTGTTTTTGTTTTTTGTTTTCTTCACCCTTTACCAGCGTTAATAAAACCGTGATTTTGAGTCATGCATCCTGGGTCCACTCTCTGCTGCCCACTGCTGGCCGGTTCACAACATGCATAATATTATCATGAAACAGAATATGCTTGTATTTTATTTTTATTTATTTATTTATTTATTTTTATTACATACTAGAACATTGTGTAATGTTTTTGCAGCATAAAAAGTAAATGATGTTTTATCTAATCTCTCTGGTACACTTTTTGTCTTTCTTTGTCTTGTAAACTCCACCCACTGAGATTTATTTCAGGAGTTATTTGTCCCCAAATGAACCAAGCATACAAATGCTGTTGTTGTTTTAGCATTTTTTTTCCTCTTCAGTGCAGTGGTATGCAAACCAAATGCAGTTTAGCATTTAAATAAACAGAAGACATCTGTATACTGTAGCGAAATCTAGCAGATTGAACAAGAGGAGGTGGAGGAATGGAAAGAGCAAAGGGGAGGCGGAAAAGTTGCTGTGTGCTCATGTTTATAGTTTGACACCAGGAACTGTGTGTTTGTTCTTGAAATTTATTGAGCCTCTACAGAGGCTTGTGTCCCCCTGAAGTAAACACAAGTACTACTTCAAACTATTGACATCCTGCATTTCCAGGCTCCTTACTCCATCTGTGACAAATGCACGCCTAACGCAGACTCAATATTTCCTCATATTTTCCTCAAACAGTCCTTTGAAGGTCTGCTTACTATTCTTCACTACTGAAGAAATATTCTCACAAGATGTAAACCTCAAAATATTTCTCATAAACAGGCGTGCAAGAGAACACACCCTGTTTGTTTGGGGTGACCATTTGGCTGTAGAGTTAACAGATGGTCCAGATGCCTTTAGTGAGCTGGAATCTCTGGAAGCTTAGAAGTATAACACCATCCCATTCCTGATACCTCCAAACACAGTCTTTGGAAATGCCTCTCATGTATAACTTCTGTATAAATACTGTAAAGTTTCAAATATAAAACTATTAAAATGGGTTCATATGGAAATGAATTTCCATGTTTAATGTCCTACGGTGTTTGGTTATAAATTATAGTTATAAATACAATGTGGCTACTACTACTATTACTTACTGTGATATATGTTTATTTCACGAAAGTTTTTTAAACGAATAATAAGTTAAGGTAGATAATAGTGATATATTTATCTGTTGACAGCTTTGTAAATTGAAGCTTTACCTTCTTTTGAGAGGCGGGAGATGTGCTCTCCAAGCTCCTGGAAATTCCAGCGCTTCAGGTAGACTGACAGCTGGAAGAGGGTGACTCTCTCTGGGCTGCAGACTGACCGAGAGCTGGGCACCACCCGGCAGGCCGCCTGAACCTGCTGCAGGAGCTGAGAAAACACTGCAGAGGAGGTAAAACACAAAAAATTAATACATCAAGGTGGTTTTGAGTCAACATTACATTAGAGTAAACTGTTCTTTAGAATCCTGCTTTAAGTTGGCTTTATAGTTTTGGATATTATTGGATAAACACGCTGAAGATTGTCTGAGCTACAGTGAGACTTCATGATATAAGCTGAGAAATATGATTTTAAGTATAAGCAGGCGTCTATACTGCAGAAATGTACACAAAGTACACGAGCAGCGCAATTTCAAATTGAACAAATGTATCCAAATTGTGCTTTTCACAAGTTGTTATTTTCCTGAACATTTTTCTCACTTTCTCAAAGAGTTATGAAGTTTACTGAGATATTTCCACATGGCTTACATTTCCATTTTTTACTTTTCTGCTGTTTCACACTTTTTTTATGATCTCATGCCAAAATTATTTTCCATTTTCTCTCACCGTAACTGTTACAGTAGTTTTGTTTAGTTTTTTAAACTTTCTGGATCAGCTGCTAATCGGTTTCAGTAGATATCCACCCATCTTTTTTTTGACAAACTTTTCTTTTATTTGTGGCAATTTCCTTCATATTTTCTCAGGTCTGCAAACCTTGCCACTTTCTAGTGATTCATAATATGCAGCAGTAAAACATTAGCTGCACTTAATCTATGATGACGGCATTCCTTGCTTTTTTATAGCCACTGGATAAAAGCCTGACTTTTATTACAGTGTGGGGCACTGTGAGATAAAAATGCCATGCATTCTTTCATAAAGTGGGACACCTGATCATCCCACTCAGGAGAGTCTGTAAATACAGTCCCGATTGAAAATTTAAGACCACTTGAAAAATTGCAAAATTGCAAAAAAAAAAAATAAATCAGATTTTGTATGGTTGGATCTTAACAAGGTTATAAGTAGAGCTTCAAAATGCAACAAGAAGAATGGGAGTGAGAAAAAACATCTTTTTGAGCATGCAATTTATCAAAAACAAAGCTTAAACTGAAACAGGCTGTTTTACAGCTGGTCCAAAGTTTAGGACCACACCTCCAAAACCCCCGTAAACCCAGTTATGAACTCAGTAATGAGTAGCTCCACCTCTTTTGTTGATAACTTCAAAAATTAATTGTGGCATGCTTGATGCAAGTGTTTCCATGAGGTGAGTGGGAAGATTTCTCCAAGTGGTGAAGACAGCCGAAAAAAGGGCATCTACTGTCTGGAACTGTTGTCCATTTTTGGAAACTACCCATCCCCAAAGCTTCTCAATTGGATTTAGATTGGGGAACACACTGAATGGTTCAAAAGAGTGATGTTATTCTGCTATAAGAAGTCCCTTGTCCTGCAGGCATTGTGTACTCCACCATTGTCCTGTTGGAAAACCCAGTCGTTACCACACAGGCTCTCCGCAACATCCGGACATAGCCAGCGGACGTTTGACGCCCCTGCACCTCCTGAAGCTCCATTGTTCCTCTGAAGGAAAAAGCACCCCAGACCATTATGGCGCCCCCTCCACTGTGGCGTGTAGAAAACATCTCAGGTGGGATCTGTTTGTCATGCCAGTATCGTTGGAAACTATCAGGATGACCAAGTTTGAATTTTTTTTCTCATCACAGAATAAAACTTTCTTCCACCGTTTAATGTCCCGTGTTTGGTGCTCTCTTGCAAAGTCCAAACGGTCAGTTCTGTGGCGTTCAAGGAGACGAGACCTTTGAGGACGTTTTTTGTTTTTAAAGCCCTTCAATCTCAGATGCCGTCTGATGGTTATGGGGCTGCAGTCGGCACCAGTAACGGCATTAATTTGAGTCAAGGATCGTCCAGTGTCTTGACAGACAGCCAATTGGCTCCTCCGGCTCAGTGTTGGTGAAATTTTTCTTGGGTCATCCAATTGACTTTTTTGTGGCATAACCCTCATCTTACTGTGTCCCACCTCAGCAGTGATAGAGCACTGTGAGAGTCCCTGCTTATTCAGTTCAACAATCTGACCACGTTCAAAAAGGGAACGTTTTTTGCCTTTGCTATCAGAATGTCATGACAGTGTGACTGCCTGACAGAAAATGACGAAGCCACGGTTTGTTTTTGATTTTTACAGATTTGGCCTTTTAAAGGCGTGTGGTCCTAAACTTTTGATCAGCTGTAAAACAGCCTGTTTCAGTTTTGGCGTTGTTTCCAATAAATTGCATGCTCAAAAAAATGTTTTGTCTCACTTGTTGCATGTTGAAGCTCTACTTGAACCTTGTTAAGATCCAACCGTGCAAAATATGATTTTTTGCCATTTTTCAAGAGGTCTTAAACTTTTGATCGGGACTGGATGTCCCGTTGTCTTTTAATTAACACTCATGGTCATAGGGGCCACTGTTGAGCAAAAAAGGGGGTGAGACTTGTTCAAGCATTTGTAGTTAAGGCGATGAGGTGCTTTTGTACCTTTCTCTGATTGGCCGGGCTGCTTGGCCTTCACCTTGTGTGTGTAACGCTTCTTCAGTGTCTTTGTGAAGCTGTCGATGTGGCAACAGAAAGGAGAGCTGTTGCCGTGCACACACTCCTCCCAGAACAACAGCAGACCCCTCGTTCTCTGGGCCTTAGGAAGGACTGAGGATAAACAAAAGGAGAATCACTGTAAGAACCTGGACAAGGTTTTTATTGAAAATGTGAAATTGATAATTATAATAAAAAAAACTCAATTTATAACTCATTTGCTTTGAAAATAATGTGAATAAAAGAATGTGCCTTGTTTCATGCATTAACGGCAGATGTGGTTCTTAGATTACAGATTTTCCACTAACTGTCTCGTGTAGAGATGTTGTCATTCTTCTCCAGCAGCAGACAGCTGATTCTGTCCAGGACCTCAGCCTGGAGAGACATTTCCTCCAGCAGCTCCCTTCTAGACGGGGTGAAGTCGGTCGTTCTTATCATCTGAGGAAGCAGAGTTCACATTTGTTTGATTTAGAAAAGTAAAGTTGGAGGTTTGACATAAATGAGAGTCAAGGATTTTGTAATCCAGTACACTGGAAGAAACAGATTACGGTGTAAGTGGTTGCCATCAGACTAAACAAGCAAATGCTGTCATGGTCACGAGGATTCAGTATTTGTTTTAGTTATTATAGACGTTTTGATTTAGTTTGTTCCCTTTTTATGTTCTGTTCTGTGCCAGTCTTGTATCAGTGTTTGAGTCTGTGTTTGTCTTTCTATGTTCGCCTGTCTTGTTCAGCCCCCCCGTGTTAACCCTACTCCTCTGCGCCGCTGTTTTCTTGTATCAAGTGTTACTTTCCCAGTTTTATTTTGCTACTGTCTTCAGCTGTGTTGAAGTCCCACACGTCTTTCCTCCTCTCTCATCACCTCTTGCAAATATATCACCTCAATCTTCCTTTGTTTTTTGTTGCGTCATCCCCATAGCTGTGTCCTCTAGCTCTGTTTAGCCTGTGCTTGTTTACATAAGGATTGTGGACTTTGAACTGTCTTTGGATTATTGGTTTTGACTTTTATTAATCTCTGAACTTCAAAATTAAATAATCGCTTTGAATTCAACTTCAGCCTTCACATGTCTGCATTTGGGTCTGCTAAATTATCCACTATCCACACTGCACCACATGACAAATAGTCGCTTATGAGTGAACCCCCCCATATAATAACTTGATTACTAATTCCACTTTCTATTTGCCAGTTTTCTGTGGGTCATGTTTTAGGTACTAATAAACTATGAGTATGAGACATGGTTTACTGTAACAATGTTACTGTTGATTTATGTATTTATCTAAAAACTTACTACAAAAACATGAACAGCATTGTTCGGAAGAACTTGTTAAAGAGAGCAATGTGAAATGCTTAGGGGAAGACGTTGGACCCCTTGTGTGTATCTCAGTATGAAATTTCAAGTAAAGTGAGCACGTATCTGAAAATAAAATGAAGATTCTGTACCTGCAGCAGGATGCAACAGATATCCAGGTGAGTCTCCAGAGCTTGATCAAGACCCCAGTTTCCAGAGGTCAGAGGAGTGATGACTAGCTCTTCCTCAGAAGCCGACTGGCTGCCTTGAGAGAGAATTCCATGACTCCTCAGCGTGCTCTGCTGGAAAGAACTGATGCTAATGGGAAAAGAAAGTATGCATAGATCAGGCTTTTTGCAGGTCGCTGCGGACTAAAGTTTCTGTCTCTGAACTCACCCACTGTCCTTCAGTCTCAGGCTTCCCAAACAAGAGGCGTCATCATCTCCGTTCAGGTCGTTTGACAGAAAGTCAAAGCTACCCAGCACCTCCTCAACAGCCAGAGTCTCCTCTGATGATGAGCTTCTCAGCAGTGATAGGTCGTTCTGGTAAGACATGAGGAAAGAGAAGGTTCACTCACAGCATGTGTGTTTACAGGTGTTTCTACAGTTTTTGTATAAATACAAACCTTCAGTATGGTGGCTAGATGCAGTATCTGGTGCTCCAATGCTCTCAGCTCCTTGTCAGCACAGCTCTGATCCTGTAATATTTTCTCCAGCTCTGCAATAATGGCTCCCAGTCTGAGCGCCTGGGCATGACGTTGGACCCCGCTCACAGCCAGCCTCGGAGCAGCTGCTGCAGGGGAGGTTTGTGGTGCAGCTGGGGTTTGAGAAGGTGGTGTTGGCAAGGCTGTGACAGAGTATTCCTCACAATCTGTGGAGTCCTGGGACAAAGTAGGAAAAACTGAGTTTAAAAATGAGAAGACCAGACGAAAGAGACATGAGGTGACAAAACCGAGAAGGACACGTTTTCAACAAGCTGTGACAGCGAGAGAAGAAAAGAAGAAGAAAAGAGAGAAGCTGGAAAATAACACAGACAAGCAGAAAAGAGATGACAAAAGCTGAAAAATGAAAAGGCCACATGAAATGAGATAAAACTGCAAAAAGCGACCACAAAAATGCTTCATGTCTTATTGAAGGTTGAATAAATACATTTTTTCACCTCAGTGAAAAACATGCAGTCAAGCACTTAGATGCACTCAGTTCTTTGTCTTCTTTTAAGAAAACTGGTCGAAATTTGTCTGACTCTGAAATATCTTTAACTCTAATTTGTTACAATTAGTTGCTAAAGCGAAACAGCAGTAAATCAATTGTCTTGTCTTTGCATTTAATGTTTTGTGCCTTTTCTCAGGGGTTCCCACAGTGTTCACGCCACCACTCGTGTATCATTCTTATATACAATTACAAAACACAGCAGCAGATCCAATTGTGACGAATCATCACTGAAACCGACACTGAAAGTACAGTCATTGTTAGATAGGATATATTAATAGGTTATTTTTAAAAGTGAAAACAACCCCCCTCAAGCCCACATTTAAATAGAACTCTGGAACAAGTAGAAAGCTAGGTCAAGGACATCAAAACAACAGCTACAGCTGCTTTTTTGACTTTTAATTATCGTTTACCATTGCAGTGTGAAAGTGACTGTCAGCAAAGTGTTTCTATGACCCGAGTGTGGGCTCTTTACCTGCCCAGTGACTGTGTCCTGACTTGGGGCTACGCTGTGGGTCTCAGGCTCTGCTTCTCCACATGTGTTCTTTCTCAGGATGTCTGGAGTGCTCGACCTGCATTAAAGGTAAAAACATTATTATTACTGTCCAGAAGTACTGTGCTAGTCTGTTTGTTCCTCTTCCACTGGCCAAGTTTAAGGCGTCTTTGCATCAAGCTACCGGGCTGGTACGGTCATAGTTCGTCCTCTGTTCTGACTTTCACCTGTGATTGTTAAAATGGATTTTTGCCATTCTTATGACACCAGAATAGATAACGAACAGATAAACAACAGGAAGGTTCCTGTTTTAGGCTCTTTTAGGAGTACCTCTTGTCATTGTTAATCATTGTCATTGTTAACTTTACATTTGAAGCTTTAACAAGTATTATCAATAAAGAGAGTATTGACTCAAAAAAGAAATTCATCTCAAATTGTGGGGTTTTGCATCTTTTAAAAAGCTGTTTTTTTCCCCCTTGTAAGTTAAATATTGTATCCTGTATTGTAACTTTGCTTACCACAAAGCTTTAAGCTTAGATATATCTTGTTGTTGTACTTCCTGCCTTTGCTCCGTTTCCTCCTCACCTTCTGGTTGTCTCACAATCATTATATATCATTTTTCCCTCCATCTCAGTTACATGCTGTTTCACTCCTGTAGTTGTGGCCTGTATTCCTTGAATTGCTTTTCACATGTAACCAATTCTTAGCTTCTGGGAACCAATAAAAACATATTTAAACATAGTATTCTCTTGAGTGAATCCTCACCTCTGTAAGGTCATAAGGGAGTCTGTTTTACTTTCTTCTGGTAAGGATGGACTCTCTAACACAACTCCCCATTCCTCCTTCTCCTCGTCTACCTTCTTGTCCACCCTCTTCTTTGTCTCCGACTCCTCTGTTGAGATCTCCAGGGATTCTTCCTCTCCGAGCGACAGCTGAGTCCGACTTCCTCCCAGACTGGTGTCTCGACTCGGGCTGAAAGGGTAGCTGTGAGCCCTTGAGAGACTGTGGACAGTTGACCAGAAAGCAGTCTTGACTAAAATAATTATGCTGGATAATTCCCACCACATTCAAATAAAACGGTGTAATAAAGCCAGAATGGTTGCACTAACTTCTTACGCTTATTATTTACATCTGAAATAAGGTTTTTTTATTCTGTACAGCAACAATCCAAAAATGCTGTTAAACACTGCTTTATAGCTGATGAATACAAAACAGTTAATATTCCTAACACGTATTGTCTCTGTAGCCACTGTGCTCCCTTCATTTGAACCCTTTTAACTTCATACTTCATACCTCGGGGTGTATGGGCTCTGAGGACTGTGGCTTGATGCGATAGAGGTGTTTGAAGGGTTGGAGAGGTAGCTGAGCAGAGACATTCCTCCTCTGTTGGGATGACCTTTGGGCACCAGAGATGGAAGAGAACCTTCCTGATCCCGCAGCTCACGCACCATAGACTGAAAAAAGTAATAGGATAAACAGTCTGAGTGTGCTATGAATTTGAGTTATTTACATAAAAATGTAAGAAAAACTTAGGATATAGGATAAACAAATTTGGCAATATAACAAAACGGGGAATAAAAACAGAACTGAATGAAAAGGTTGATGCTGAATCCTGCTACCAGTACATGTGCTTTGCATTAATAAAACCCCTGAGTGCGTGCATGTGTGTGCACACATACGTACAATAAAGTATTTCTCAGTGAAGGAGGGGGTGCTCGGTGCCGTCCAGCTGTACACTGAACTCTTTCTGCTGGACACTGACTGCTTGTTTCCAGACAGCGCCCTCAGCTTCTCAGTGCCGTCAAATGGACTGCAGGTGTTAGCACACAGAAGGTTATACACTGCACAACAAACTGTATGATATGCACTGCATAAACATATGTTTTTATCTATTTGGTATTAAACTGGCCGTGATCATTAGCAGTCTGTTCAATGAGTTACTTTTCAGAGTTTTGCAACGTTTTATGCTGTTGTGGGCTTTTTGGTTACCTTTCCTCACATTTAGAAGCATTTCACAAAGTGAAGCGCTAACTGCTTCTGTAATTTTCATGGCCTGTTTTATTAGTGGGTGGTTTCCTCAAAAAGTGCAGTGCTTCTCAAGTTGATATGATAATATGCTAAAGCTATAATTCTGACTTGTATTTGACTAAAAACGTAATCATTAACAATGAAAAGATGTGATAAAAAAAAAAAAGTGTTTTGGAGCATGAATGTTTTTTAAAATAAAAAACATTCGACTTGCTAAAAATCGTTTCTCTTCTTAATCTGAGCTTTCAGTGAATCATTTTCTTTCCATCTTTTTGTATTTGCTGAACCCATTTTGTCACATTATTACATTTTATATGCATAAGAGAAACGAAGGGAAAGCAGTGAAATGTTACTTATCTTTTAGCTTAACAGAGGTGCATAGTGGGTGTATGTGTGCGTATGGCCACAGCAGCCTTTTGTTTGTGTGTGAGTGTGTGTCTGGCAGCCTTGTACAGCTTTGTGTGATTTTTCCATCTCTCCAGGGGGAGGATCTGTGAAACGTCCTCCACCTGGCCCCTCTAAAGCCTGAAATGTGATCTGTCATGGTGCAAGGGCACAGCGGAGTGCGTCTGCGTGTGTTACTGTGTATGTGTGTGTGAGTAAAATGTTCATTCTGTATTCAATCAGCTGCTCAGCAACAGCTGGCTCAGGTTAGAGGTGCGGCAGAGACTGAGGCTGAGAATGAAGAAAACAGCAGCTACAGCTTCAGCAGGACGAGTGGATGTGAATCTGTAACATCATTTGTTGTTGCCTGCTTTGTTATATTTGATATTTTCTCTGGTTTTACATCTGTGAGCATCTGGAAAAGTAATTATTTAAAAAAAAAGACTGAAATTAAAAAAAAGAAAGAAAGGAAGAAATTACGTTGGCTGAGAAATAAATGGAAAAAACACGACTTGTTATCCAGTAGTAAAATCTGTCATCTCTTCATTCCACCTTTCACTGAAAAAAGGAAAGTTTCTGATGCGGTCGCGTGGACCAGCTGCACTTATCATTCATGTGTCTCATGGAACATGATATCTACACCAGCAGCAGGACAAAAAGTGGAGCCATGATGGAGAGGTCAGGACAAAAGTTCAGCTAAAACTTTAATATTTTTTATGCTGCAGATTAAAATTCCTCAATCTGTCATCCAATTATTCTCATTTCCTTTTTGGAATTTTGGTTATTCCCACTTCACCCTTTATCACAGCAGAGGAAATACCAGCATTTCAGAGTTGTCATCATCGTCATCACCTCATCGGTTAGTTTCAAATCAGATCTTTATCTTGTTTTCATGTGTGTGTGTAAGAAGTCTGCGTTCGTACTTCCAGGTCACTTCCAGCTGCAGTTTGATGGTTCCCAACTCCGTGATGTCCACCAACATCACCTGAGGCCTTGCCACAAAGAAGTCTGCGCTTGCACACGTTACCATGCCAACCAGCAGCCAGCTCAAACCCTTTGCTTCCGTCACCTAAAACAAAGGATGCCACTGGTTAAAGATACAGGGAGTGCAGAATTATTAGGCAAATGGGTATTTTGTCCACATCATCCTCTTCATGCATGTTGTCTTACTCCAAGCTTTATAGGCTCGAAAGCCTACTACCAATTAAGCATATTAGGTGATGTGCATCTCTGTAATGAGAAGGGGTGTGGTCTAATGACATCAACACCCTATATCAGGTGTGCATAATTATTAGGCAACTTCCTTTCCTTTGGCAAAATGGGTCAAAAGAAGGACTTGACAGGCTCAGAAAAGTCAAAAATAGTGAGATATCTTGCAGAGGGATGCAGCAGTCTCAAAATTGCAAAGCTTCTGAAGCGTGATCATCGAACAATCAAGCGTTTCATTCAAAATAGTCAACAGGGTCGCAAGAAGCGTGTGGAAAAACCAAGGTGCAAAATAACTGCCCATGAACTGAGAAAAGTCAAGCGTGCAGCTGCCAAGATGCCACTTGCCACCAGTTTGGCCATATTTCAGAGCTGCAACATCACTGGAGTGCCCAAAAGCACAAGGTGTGCAATACTCAGAGACATGGCCAAGGTAAGAAAGGCTGAAAGACGACCACCACTGAACAAGACACACAAGCTGAAACGTCAAGACTGGGCCAAGAAATGTCTCAAGACTGATTTTTCTAAGGTTTTATGGACTGATGAAATGAGAGTGAGTCTTGATGGGCCAGATGGATGGGCCCGTGGCTGGATTGGTAAAGGGCAGAGAGCTCCAGTCCGACTCAGACGCCAGCAAGGTGGAGGTGGAGTACTGGTTTGGGCTGGTATCATCAAAGATGAGCTTGTGGGGCCTTTTCGGGTTGAGGATGGAGTCAAGCTCAACTCCCAGTCCTACTGCCAGTTTCTGGAAGACACCTTCTTCAAGCAGTGGTACAGGAAGAAGTCTGCATCCTTCAAGAAAAACATGATTTTCATGCAGGACAATGCTCCATCACACGCGTCCAAGTACTCCACAGCGTGGCTGGCAAGAAAGGGTATAAAAGAAGAAAAACTAATGACATGGCCTCCTTGTTCACCTGATTTGAACCCCATTGAGAACCTGTGATCCATCATCAAATGTGAGATTTACAAGGAGGGAAAACAGTACACCTCTCTGAACAGTGTCTGGGAGGCTGTGGTTGCTGCTGCACGCAATGTTGATGGTGAACAGATCAAAACACTGACAGAATCCATGGATGGCAGGCTTTTGAGTGTCCTTGCAAAGAAAGGTGGCTATATTGGTCGCTGATTTGTTTTTGTTTTGTTTTTGAATGTCAGAAATGTATATTTGTGAATGTGGAGATGTTATATTGGTTTCACTGGTAAAAATAAATAATTGAAATGGGTATATATTTGGTTTTTGTTAAGTTGCCTAATAATTATGCACAGTAATAGTCACCTGCACACAGAGATATCCCCCTAAAATAGCTAAAACTAAAAACAAACTAAAAACTACTTCCAAAAACATTCAGCTTTGATATTAATGAGTTTTTTGGGTTCATTGAGAACATGGTTGTTGTTCAATAATAAAATTATTCCTCAAAAATACAACTTGCCTAATAATTCTGCACTCCCTGTACACACAGAAAGTTTTTTTCCCTACACAAACAGTAAAACAAACACAGAGAGGAAAGAAATTACAGCCCAAAGAAATACAGGTCACTGTAATAGCAAAATTCCTAAAAGGACAAAAAAGATGAAGTATTCAAATTTCTGGAATAAAAATATGCAATAGGTGTTTACACTGCCGTACACCTGCAGACATGTCCGATTACCTTTATCTCAAAGTTGTGGTGAATGTGTGGGAGGAAGACCATCTCCTCCTCATCCCATGACTGACTATCATCTGATTCAATCCTCCCTCTGATCTTCCATCGCTGGCGGCCCAGTCGTACTAACACCTGTCAATGTGACATCATTAAGACACGACGTCATCATCCAGAAACCATAAAACACCAACCAAGTCAGTAATTTTGGTCTAAGAGTCCAAAGGTTCAGTTCACAGTTTGTCTGTTTTTCCTGACAGTGCAGGTAGTTTGTGGAGGATTTATAACAAATTTGGCACGTTATAGTTTGAAATGTTAATTTAAATACAAGTACAAATAAAAATACAAATACAAAGTACAAACAAACAAAAAGAACCTAAGTGATAGTTGTTGCATTTCAGATTAAATTGATTAAGTCTTCATGGCATTATTTTTAAAATGTTTGCTTTATTTTTTCCATTTCTTAAACTTTTGCACAGCAAAAATAAATGAACTTATAAAGAGAGATCTTATTTTATTTAATTTTTTTTTAGTTTTTTTTAAAAGAAATGTCAAAACGTCCTTTAATTATCTTCTATATAAATTCTTTTTTTAAAATTTTTTTTAGTACTTTGGGGGACTCCAAAGTAACATTTCTGGATGAGATCCAGAAGTTGTTGTAAAAAAAAAAAAATTAATTATGTTGACATTATTGTTGGTTGGTGTTAGAAAAACAAAACATCCCCCCCAGGGCAGAGATTCAGATTTCAAAATGATTCAATTCTATCTATCATCAACAATAAAAGAACTTTCAGCTGTACACTTAAAATGTAAATATTAAAAGCTTGATTGAAAGGACGAGACAATAGATGGTGTTTCTTTCACTTGTCCTGCACATTAAGTTATTTGCATGCAAATGCTGAAAATTCTTGGTTTTTAAATAGAAAATCCAACCTCGTACTGGTCTCCTGGACAAAGTCGAGCGAAGCCGATGAGACCTGCAAGTGAAAGCAGACGTTAGATGTCTGGGAGATAGTGTGTCACTGATAACCTGTAAATTGCTCAGGGCTCTGAAGGAAGCATGTGTGCGTGTGTGTGTGTGTTCGCACCCTTCATTTTAATGTATAGCTCTCCTAGCAGGATTTCTAACTCTCCTTCCATTGTTGACATGTCCTGCAGAGAAGTTTAAACACACAGAGAAAATAAAAGATCTTCTCTAACAGTTCTTTGTCTATTTTCTCAGAAGATTGCATGACTCACAGTTCATCAGGTTATGGTTCAGCTTTCCCAGTCATCCACTCTCTGAAACCTGGTCTGGCTGTTTTAGCTCCTTAGCTGCCTTACCTTTTGATTTGCTGTTCCTCACAAACAGAAGGTTTGACTGTGCTCACAGCTCACAGCGCGCAGGAAACGACCATTTTAAGGATAGCCAATATTTATTTCGGCAATAAAAGCCAAAAGCAAATCTCTTTAAAATATTTGGAAAGGTTTATGCACTTCATTACTAAGAAATAACCATCAGCAATCCTCAGTATGTTTTTACTCTTAACATCTAACACAGGTGACATGTCCAGAGGTAAAAATGTCTCATTTCTTTTGGGTTTTTTTTTCAATTTTTTTTTAAAGAGATCTCAATAAAGTTGACACACTTTGCAATATGCTAACAGAACACCATAAATGTCCTGGTTCTTGTACAGCACTTTTCTGTTCTACTGGAGCAGTCAAAGCATTTTATACAACATGCCTCATTCACACCTGTTCATTCAATCACTTTTTCACACTCCATTGAACGCATCACAGAGCAACTTGGCGTTCAGTATCTTGCCCAGGGATGCTTTTGCTGCAGATTGGAGCAGCGAGGAATCAAACTACTAACTGATTAGTAGAGGACCTGCACTACCTCCTGAGCGTAAGCCAGCCGAACACTATGTAGCGCAATATTTAATACATGATGAAAAACACAATTTAATGTAGGTATGCATGCATGCAAATGAATTTTCTTATATAAATAAATATAATAATTACATTAAATGTTATTGTCATCTGTGTCTCCATCTGTCTAGCTTCCATTTATTAACTATTAACCACAGTTACAGTAGCAATGAATTATGTCTAAATAATAAAAACAACTATAATTTAACTTAAAGGGAAGAAACAAACTGTAAAAGAACAGTGACCCCAGTAAACAACAGTGTGCTCATTTAATGATTTATTCTGGCTCTCTCTCTATGGAAACCTTTAAAGGATTATTATGCTTTTGCATTTTAATGCTGACTTTCTGGCTAAGAGCTGGACTTCACCACAAAGAAGAGCAGATGAAGCAGCATGTGTCGAGCAGACTTTTGTCATCTGTGTGGGCTGAAACTGCCTCCTCGCATAGCACAGACCAAAACTGAGGACCAAGTGGCCAATTTATCAGTAGTGAAGACTTTTTAACATCATTCCTAATATAGATGCATGCCTGCCCATATTAAATATGGTCAGTTTTAAATAATGAGGCCAGCATACAAGTAACATGCAACAGATCGTTTACCAGATCTCCATTTATTATGGTCACATTGTTTCTCATGTGTCTGTCTGATTGCACGGTGGGCACGTTTGGATGTTTAAAAGCTGATCAAATGAAGGAAAACCCCAATCACCACAATCCAAACATAACAAGAAATAAAATGTTTATGTGATGCCTACACAATGTCACTAATTTAATTTACTATTGTGTTACGCTGCCAAAGAGGCTTCTTTTATAATTGAAAAAAAGAAGAAGAGAGAGTTAGTATTGTGCCGGCATTTTTAGTTCTTGATTTGACTTGAAAAGTGAAGTTACACAGCCTTAACTTCACTCTTATTTTATTATGGAAACAAGGTCTTCTTAGAAAACAGTGACCTGCATGCAAGCATTAATTACAAGCGTGCAGTTTCAGCTTCAGTTTATCATTTAACTCCTTCAATCCACTTAAACTTCAGTCTGTTTTCTTAATCTTAAGACAAACACCCAGATTTTTGCAATTGTAATAAAACAACACTTTAATCTTTCCTATGGGAAGTTGACTTCATCCTTAAAAACTGGCTTTCTTCTCACTCTGTCAAGACCTTATATGCCAGGACAGTAGAAACTGTGTGTGCAGAAGAACAATTCTCCAGTGGCTGCTGATATTAAAAAGAAAGAAAAAAAACAAAAGCTCTTCTACGGAGTTTCTGTTCACCTGCGAAAATCACAATGGCAAATGCAGTAAAATGGTTTGTGATGCTGTGGTGCCCTTAATACCTACAGAAAAGTATCTTGTTACATCTGAAAACTGTATTTATTATCTCAGCCTCTACTATCAGAGAACACATGAGAACATTTAACCCAAGAAATTTACATGTTGTGCTAACTGTATTTTGAAATTGACTCCTAAGCACAAGTTCTGAATCATCCCAGAAGTGAGAATGATTGTTATTTTAATAATCTCGTTGTTGTTGTTTTTATTGTATTTGACTTAATTAGGCATCTGTTCCTATAATACCCCCAAATTTAAGTAAGCTTGTGGATGATGATGATTATTGGAGAAAAGAACATCAGTGGCCTAAGATTCTCAGTAAACGAGGTTATTCAAGCTTTGTAGGATTAAGTCAAGGTGAGCTTTAAGTTATCACCTCTCATCCAAGTAGAGTGTTCAGTTCTGAAAAACCTCTTAGCAGAGGTCAGAGATTTTAACTTTAAAGAAACTTCAGACTCTGAACATCTTTTGTTGAGTGCAGGTCAAATAGAAGGAGAAGTAAGAACGTATATGCTGGACGGTACATAGGCATGCATGCAACCGTGTATACAAACAAATGATGAGCACACCATTCATATATAAGTTAATCTTTATAAGATCTGGTTGGTGTGTGTGTGTGTGTGTGTAAGACCAGAGGAGAGTTTAAAAAAAAAAAAGATGTGATATCAAAAACACTGAGGGTGAAATGATGAAAAGAAAAAACAGGAAAGTAAGAAAAGTTTGTGAGGAGCTGAGAAAGAGAAGATGTGGGCATATGTTGGAAGCTGAATCTATGAAAAAGAGAAACCACAGATCGACAGAGGGCATGAATGAGTCTACAGCTGTCTTTTAATGGCCCTTATCCTGCAGCTGCAACCAGAAGAATCACTGCAGTACCATCACTCACATGTCAGAATATTTGATTTGGAAACTTTATGACCATTCAAAGGCTTATTTTGCCACTGCGCTCCTCGGACATGATGGATATGTGGTTGCCACTTTGGCTGTGAGTACGTCTCAAAAACAGTCCAGTTTACAGATTCTCTCTGGGAGGTTTGAATGCACATGGTAAGCTAGACTGCTGCCTACAGTAGGTGCCAGAGAGGAAGAATAAATATTGTCTGGTGTAATAAAAAAAAAAAAAATCTACACACAATGTGCCTAGAACAAACAAACGAGGCATGAATACCCTTTTTTGTGCAACATCATCTCCAGCTAGTTTGAACTTTTAGAAACTTCAAAGAACATTTGTGATTTTCCAAAAATACTTTTCCAAAATGTCACTGATCCTACCTGCAGGCTGTGTCTGTGGTTGCGGTTGAGCTCCAGCAGACTCTCTCTGGAGGCTCTGGTGGACTGGGACAGTGAAAAGGCTCTCTTCATGTTGACCGCTCCCTGACACAATCTCCACTGAATACAATATGTCTCATACAGCTCCTCTACCTGCAGAGGCATGGAACAGATGAAGAGTAACAACATCAACAAACATCATCATCAACATTTTTCCCCCTCTTTTACATAACGGATTAGACTGGTGGTTAATCAGTGTGCAGCACAAAGTGTCTCCCTGTGCGACAGGGGTGGCTCATCTGCTGCTTTTAAAAGCTTTTGAGTAATAGTTTAGTGAATTCATACCATAGAAATACATCTGAGTAACTGACAGAAAGATAATCACCAGGCTTGCATGGAGTTAGACTCTTTTCTACAAAACAAAGGCTTTAGTAGATTTTTTATCAACCTCAACTACAGCCGAGAAAAACCAGTCTAAAATCCAAAATTTTACCTTACTGATTTGAAATTCTAATCGTCGTATATATCTCTCCAAAGACCTGATCTCCTGTAAAAAACAGAAAAAAACATATTGAGCTTTGAAAGCTTGAGAAACATTTATTATCACTTATCCATTCAAATTAAATAACTTAAAATAAGATCTTGCTTAAAAGGAAAAAATGAAAACACATTACCTTCTCCAGATCGTAAAGAAAGGCCTGAAAATACAGAAAAGTATAATTACCATCAGCACTGTTGTCATCACCAGGCGCACACATTTTTGTACACACAGACTTTCTTCCTCTCTCCCTCCTCACCAGTCTCGAGTTTCTTTTCGTCTCTCTCTGCTGTGAAGACAGGAAGTCCATCTCAGCTTGGTGACCCTCCAGGTAGTCCCTGAAGAGAGAAACACACAATTAAAAGTAACATTTTATGAAGATGAACAAACTTTACCTGCCAGATATCAGCTGAGAAATTCCAACTCGGGACTACCAAACATCTACTGCATGTAGCAGCAGATGTGAAAAGTACAGCTACATTTACTGACAGCGTAAAATATTCTTTGCAAAAATTAAACTAAATATCAAAACTCAACCAATTTTACTCTGTTAAAGGATCATTAATCATAAATGTGACTGCCTCCTATTCATCTTGTGGACTTTTGAAGGGTCAAACCACAGATTTGGAACCACTCAAGTAAATAAATGTAAGGAGGTGGAAACAAGCCTCGCGCTGACCAGCTGCAACACTAAAACACTACAGAGACATGGACAAGTTTAGTATTATAGCACTGGGTACGTCACTGCCTGCTTGTACTTTAATGTTTAGTGGGATACTTGTTTAAGTTCAGCAGTACTACACATACTTGAGTCCTTTGCGTAGTGCCTGAAAAACCCTGCCGACCTGCTCCGGCTGCAGAGACCAGATAGCGCCTGAACTTCTGCGGGGGGAGACGGGCGCCCTGCTGGCTTTATTTCCCGTCATGGCTTTGACGCGAAGAGAGTTACGAACAGAAGACGTCCTAAAAACAGAGAAAGTGAATGAATAGTCATAACAACATTTTTACAGGGTAAATCAGAATCTGTAGTTACATAAATTGTTATCAAAAAGAGCTTGTTGGAGTTTTTTTTATATTCCTACCTCTTTATTTTCAACTGTGTTCATCAGTAAAATCTGTTCCCATGTAGTTCCCTGTATATTAACACTCCTGTCTTTGGCCCAAATCTAATCCAGCCCCTACAATCCACATTAAGTGTGGATCCAAGCAGGTAGCCTTTAGTGGGAGTGTGTTATAAGGCCCTCCAGCATAAAGTCTGGACCAGTGTAGGTTTACCACCTGTTTTTTGTCTGATACGGAGGAAACCCCACACACTCAAATGTGGTCCATATGATTCAGGACTGTCTGTGCAATAAATAAAATGTCAAGTTTGTGAATGACCATGAACATGGTAACAAGAAAACACACCCAGTTTCAAGTCTAAGGTTTTTATAGATCAGGACATAATAAATAGTAATCTTAGCCGGTCTTAGAATTAAGTAAATACAAGCCTCAAAGTATGACATATTACACCGTGTCATTATTTATTTAATAAAAACTTAGCCAAAATGGGCGCAGCAGTGTGTGAAAAAGGACACCCTTACAGGTTGCGTAGGAATTAGGAGGTTAAGTAGTGATCCAAGTGTGAGTGAATACAATACCAAGGAGGATAGATCAACACTGATCTTAAATAAGAAGCAACTGTTTCAGTCCATCATTCTGGAAAAGGATTAAGTCTATTTCCAAACACTTTGAAGTTCATCATTGTACTGTGAGAAAGAAAGCATTCAAGACAGGAATGGATGTCCCAGTAAATTCACCCCAAAGTCAGACCGTGCAACACTCAGGGAAGAGCTAGGTTAACATAGCTTTGCAAAGCTGCATCCGACCCAATCACAGAGACATCAGGATCAATGTTCTTTGGATAGATGTGACTAACAGATGTTTAGCCATAATCCACAGCACCATGATTGGCAAAAACCAAATACAGCATATCAGTGCAACTGCTTCATACCAACAATCAGGCACAGTGATTGGCAGTGGATGATTCTGACTTGTTTTCCAGGCACAGGACCTGCGCATATTACAGTCTCAAAGTCGACGGCCAAGTCCTCTGTATATTAAACTATTTCAGAGTCAAATGAGGGGCCATTTGTCTCAGGCTAAAGCTTAGCTGCAACAGGGCCATGCAACAGGACAATGACCAAAAGTACAGCAGCAAATCTACAACATAATGACTGGGGGGAAAAAAGAATCAAGGTTTAATCCATAATTCAGAAATGAATATATGCTCCCATCCAACCGACATCTTTTTAGGCAGGCTTTTCATGCTTCAGGAAGACAATCGCAAACAAACTGCATACAGCATGACTCTGCAGAAGAAGAGCCTAGGTGCTGAACTGGGCTGCCTGCAGTCTAGACTGTTGAGCAGAAAGAAACGTCTATCAGACCAGATGGGCGCCATTCCTCTCCACCAGCTGGTCTCCTCAGTTCCCACACATTTATAGACTGTTGTTAAAAGAAGAGGGGATGCACAGTGGTAAACATGGCTATTTTTTTGGGTCCAATTTCTGAATTTAAACATTTGATATGTTTGCTGTGCACTATGGTGAATACAAAAAAAGATTTATGGAGAATCGGATGGGGGATGTGTGTTTAGGATGGAAAAATGTGTGGATGTTTGTGTTGTGTGTATAGAGTATAAACAGCCACACACACACAGAGAAGTGGAATGCTGCTTGCTTTCTTTTTTTAACACAACATTTTGTTCTCGGCCTCTCTGGGGGACCGACAGTTTTCATCTGGGTGTTTATCACTCTGTCTTCTTTCATTCGCAAATAACATCTGAAAGTCTGTGGTGCTTTCACTGCCTGCCCATCAGCGGAGAACAGACTTGTCTGAGGGTGAAGGGAATTCCCTCCACACAACGTGACGTTTTTATTTTCTCTCATTCATTGTTTCACTATATGGAGAAAAACAGTTCAACAGAGGGATGATTTATAACATGATCACAGTATCAAAGTTAATATCTGTAAAATCACAAAGTTAAAATTCTTTTTCTTCCCATTTATCCTGACAGCTACGAGAATCGAAACAATTCCTCAGACATTTTTCTCCCAACAAACTTCTGTTTGTTTTGTTTTAGACAGCGGCACGTTTTTCTTTTATAGAGATTCAGACTCAGTGTTTCACATAATGAGATCAGTATCTGTACAAGTCAAAAACTCGGGCTTCACACTGCTGACACTCGGTTTTATAAAACTTTTTCTACTTAACGTGATCCTCGTCACACTCACTTAATGTCTAAATTTTATTGATAAAACATTATTTCATAATGCAATGTCAGGATTTTTCCCCCTGACTGAGGATTTCTTTACATCAATTCATAATGATATAGTGAATGTTGATAATGGCAACACTGGTGTTTCCATAATTCCGTCTGCTGCTTGACATGAAGTCTCCCGAGAAAACGAGCTGGCTGCTGGCAGGGAAGAAAAGGTGGAGACTCTTCCCAGAGGAGGACGAGACAAGAAGACCAACAGGGAGGGAGAGAGAGACCAAAAGTAAAACAAGCGAGTCCTTAAACAGACTTGTCCTTTAAGCTGCCTTATGGCTGGCTATTTATCGTTAAACCAAATAAATGCTCACACTGATGAGCTCAACGCATGCTAATAAACACGAGGGACAAACCAGGGCTGGTTAAAGTGGCCAAACTACTCGTAACATTCACAAAATGTGCACCTGTAGCATCCACTTGCTCGTCCTTCTGTCTATTGTCATCTCTGTAACCACACCCTTCCCTCAACTTTCCCATCTCTATTCTTACATCTGTGCTTCCTTTCAACAGTTGTGGCATTCTACTGGCGCTGCAGACACACCTGAAGACAATCGACTAATCACTTGCTGCATTCAAACACCAGCTCTCACACCCACCCCTCACCAGATTGTCTGACATTTAAAGATTGCCTTCTCTGCCAGTCTCCCCCCGTTTTCTCCCTGTGCTCCAGCTACGTCCTTGATCTGTCACTGCATCGTTTGACCTTCCTGCTAAACAGTGTGATTCTCCCAGTATTCTGCTTTAGAGTTCGCCAGTTCAGTAGTTAAATCCTAACACTTGTACTTTATAGCTACAGCACATTTAGCAGCACCAATACCTCTACATGACACTTAACAGAGTTTAGACGCCTCTGTGGTTTTTGCTCTTTAAAAAAATAACACTAATTACACACTGTCTGCCCATGATATGTAGCTACACCACACATTTGTTGACTATTTCTCTGCCAGTCAAACCCAGACAGACACACCCCTGCAGCCAGATGAGAGAGGAAAGGGAGCATTTCTGATATCTTTACCAAAAACCTTTTCTTTTGTTAAATAAACAGTTGCTAACTTCTTTAAAACTGGCATAAATATCTGAGAGTGAGCGAATGTTTTGGACATCCTTTGGAAGATCCACTTAGATAACAGGACCCAATTAGTTCTTACTAGTTGTTTAAGACTAAATTGTAAACCAGTGTTAGTCGTTATTACACAGATTTCTTTCTTATTGGTTGAAACAATAGGAAAGTGTCATTCACCTCTGTCGACCAGTCAGAGAAGAGAATCCAGTGAAGGAGCGGCTTCTGTGGATCAGGCCTCCATCTGAGGGAGAGTCAAATCGCAGCTTCACTGACATCCTGCAGAGTAAATAAGAGGTGTTTTAGCCAATGAGGAGACACGTGCTAACAAAAGATATCCCAAACCCTCAAATATTACCACTTTATATTTCCAAGTTAATCCTAAATAATGGTGAGTCACAAAATCAATCACATGAGGTCTACGATACAAGAAATCAACCACGCTAATGTTGGAAGTAGAATTATAACAGAAATGATTGGAAACAAGATCAAACCAAACAAGCGACAAGAGCTGAGACCAAACAGACGTTTGCTTGAGAAAGGATCTGTCACTGTTTACTCTTTATATTAGTAACTGGATGTGTAAGACTGTTTGTTAAAGCCAAAAAAACTGAATATCTTAAGTCACTTGAATTAAAAAGAAATATTTCCTCCTTTTTCTTTGTTAATTTTAAATTGATGTTCTTTATTTCCACAGTCACTCACGCGAACATTTAAATCAACAAGACCACCCTTACTCTCAGACAATCCAAAACAGGAAACAGAGCACCGACATCTGTGGGACAAATTAACCAAAGAACATCTTGAACCGGACCCACAAATATGTGCACAAACTGCAGATGGAGGACGCTTATATATTCACTATACTCCAAGTATGGCAGCGTTGGTCTGTTGGCTCGCCCACACACCGTAGATTCGGGTTGAACAATCTCAGAAAATGGAAATAAAATCAATAACTTACAGTGTGCACCATTCAATATAAGGTTTATGCCACAATGGCGTTAAATTAACATTAGTACATTTTAAATGCAATGTTTTATGAAAAAAAAGCAGAAAAAAAACAAAACAATTATTTTGTTTTGCACTCCTGACAGAAAAATTAGTTTTAGTCATCTAGTTCTACGCTGTTATGCTTGAATCAGTGTGAATCAATGCTTAAAGTCCTGCTGGCTTAAATACAGGTATAAAAATATTCAGTTTGTTACTTGGCTGATAAATAATCTTATTTTCTGTTTGATTTATAAAGTACTTTGTCTTCTTGTTTTTGTGAGAGGTGGTCTAATATACGTGTTAAGTAATTTAATGATAGTTAAACAATTAAATGACAAGAACGTACCTGTTTTTCCACTATCTGCTATAGAAATGTCTGCTTCTATAGTAGACAGAAAAGTATCTTTTCCTCTTTCAGCTGTCTCAATCTGTTGTTAAAGTTTAAAATGATTTTAAATTGGTTATGATGAGGAAAGTGTTCATTCGGTTCTTGTGTTTGCATGAGCTTCGCTCTCATTCCCTCTGCTCAGCTGCAGCGACTTTGCTAATGAACCCAGTCAGTGCACATATACACCAAACAGCAGCCTGCAGAGCTGAGAAATGAAGCAGTTCCTCTAATGGCCTCTTGTTACTGGCTCCAAAGGCATAGAAAGCATATTTATACCCTGATACAGGAAAGGCTTTGTTCCTGTTAATTTAGGGGCGTGAACATGTTGATTGACAGGTTTAAACTGCCTGTGATATACACAGAAATCCCTTGACCTCTCCAAGTGTCTTGTAGAGTGGGCTTTGGTTTTTCAGTGCCTTTTTTTGTTTTGATCCTGATTGTTTTTTTTGTCACGGTCCTGGGTTTTTGATTGAAGTGTTTTGAGTTTCCTGTGGGGTGTGTGTTTGTTTGTTTGATGGTTGTTTTGTTTTTTTGTCACTTTGTACTGTGAATTATGCTCTCATCATTGGTCTTTTGTTACTCCCTCGAGTCTAGTTTCTTGTGTTCCATGCTTAGTATTTCTCTCTGTGTATTATTGATCATCTCTAGTCTTTTGGTTCTTAGAGTTCTCTGCCGTATGGTTACGTCTCTGTGTCTCCACCATGTTAAGTTTGCGTCTCAGTGTTATACTTCGTGTTTTACTTTGAAGGTCTGTGTCTCATGTGAGTGTATCCTGCTTTGCTTCCTTGTCTCGTCAGTTCTGATTTTCCCCAGCTGTGCTCTCCTTCTGTGTCTGATTCCCTCGTTATTCCCCAGTGTATTTAAGCCCTGTTTTTCTCTGTGTCAGTGTCGCGTTGTCCCTCATTGCTGTGTGTTAGGCTCTCCCTGTGTTTCCTTAGTAGTGTCGCGTCGCAGTGCTGATGTCTATGAAAATGTTTATAGCTGCATCACCAGGAAATAAGACAGAGGCAAAATAAGATTATTTTGCTAAGTTACCGAAAGAGCCTTTCCTTTACGGCAGTAAAGACAAAACTAACAGAACACAATAAAGGCTGACAAAGTGAAAAGGTCAGTCGGTTTTATAGAAGAGTACTGTGTGTAAACACACAGTCTGGATGCCATCTGCTCAGGCTCTTTCATGTGGTTCAAATAGCGAGTCTAGTTAAAGCTAAAACAACAACATGACTATATTTTTACCATTAGCCGTTTCTTCTAAACAGCCTTTATGCAATGATCTGTGTATGATTGTGCAAACCTCCTTATTCAGCATGTTAATAAACCACAAAGATGTTTGGCTGAACTTTATTATTACCAACAACCCAAATTTGATAAGGTAGAGCTGAATTGCCCCTTTTATCCGACTTTGCTGAACTGATCTGTTGAACGTTATCATGTTTTGTTTATGCACTTTTAGATGGAGATTTACATTCAGCCAAATTTTTGAGTCATTGTTGCTTCAGTCACACAAACATATATTTATACACTCTTTTTTTATTTTACACACACAAACAGGACTTCCATCATACACGGATGGATGCATCACAGGGGCAAAATGCTAATCATCATATTAGTGGATGACACACTGTACCTCCTTAACTACAAGCATCCGGCTGTTTCAGCGTGTCTAAGATGTGATACTATTATCATAAAATGCTGGATCTTATGCATGTGCTAATGTGATTATCTCAAAAAATTATTCTTCATCCCTCAAAAATATGAAGCCATAGTTTTGAGTCAAATGCAGCTTTAGGTTTATTTATTCAAATAATTAATCATGAAAGAAAACATGCTCACTAGAAACTGAGTGTATGATATAATTAAAGTACTTAAAGTCAGCATTTGTGGGTGAATACTGAATATTTTTTGAATGTTTTTATACTTCAGCCTCTTTGGTGGCCCTGAGAGGTCGAGCACACTGCAGCTTAAGAAAACACCAGGAAATAGAAAAACACTGCAAAAGATAAAGAAAAAAAAATCACAAACACAACAGAAGTATTTTTGTTAACACAAAAATGTGACAGAACACCTGCGAAAGTGACACAGATGAACCCTCCACTTCATTTCAGTCTGTCTCAGTTACAGTCTCTTCACATTTTCTGCCCCTTCTCTCACTGACCCGCCCTTTTATTGTGTCCCCAGGAGCTCTACTATTTTGCTGTATCATTTTTTTTCTTCTTCTTCTGGCTTAAAAAATCATTCTGTTGTGTTTTGGGTGCTTTTGCAGGACAAGTGCACTTGTCCTCTCGGGGTCACCGTATAAGCCGGAGTGTGAATTTTAAATGTTTCATGCATTTAAAACACTTGGAAAAGAGCACGTGCAACAATACTGGAGGTATGGGAGATCAAAACTTCATAAAACTAAATCAAGCTCATCCACACTAAGTTTGGCACCCTGTGGCAAGGGTTTGAACCAATAGTATGGTAGAAATACTGAACCCTGCCAATGTAAGTAGTTCAGATTAACCCACTTTGGAGTCCTGACCCAGAATGTGAAACTCACACTGTGGTCCTGATGCCAACATCAACAGAGTCACCGAGCAACCAAACTTAACAGATGGGGATAGGAAATCCAGGTCTGATCATTATGAACCAAAGTTAGCCAAGACACACACACACACACATATGCACACACACATATACACACACTTGGTTTTTCCCTGTAGAGGAAGTTGAAGTGTCTTTTGTTTTACAAGGATAATATTTTTCAGTACATGTTTCTAGCCTCTTAAATCTAAATCTGTCCTTAAGGTAATCCTCAAGGTTAGACAGCTCAACAACATGCAGCGGCTTGAAGTGGGCCAATTATGCTTATTATAGCTCTCGTTTTGTCCTTGGACTCTACTAAAGCAGATTTCAATGCTTCATTATTTAAAACTTTCGGCATGTTTGATTTGCTCATTCAACACTATGACCAGATAGGTATGACAGAAAATAAAAAAAAGTATAAAAGGTCGGCTTTAAACAGAAGTATTAATTTGTTTTACAAATGAACTTCATGTCACGGCTGCGGCAGCAGTGTTTGTGTGAAAGGACCCAAAATGCAGGCACTTGCTGTGATGCGAGGGAGCTTTATTGTAGAAGGTGAAAATAACAAAGGCGAGGACAGAACTAAACATAAACCTAAACTGGGAAGACTAGTAACAAACAAAACCCGAAACCATAACTCACAGAACAACATGCAGTAAAAAACATAAGGAGGTGACACAGGGGATGAGGAGTGGAGAATGAAGCGCAGCGAGACACCAAGTTACACAAATGGAGCGACGACGAATGGAGGCAAACAGTCTGGGGTTAAAACTGAAGCAATACACATACAGTTCATATCTGTGAATAAACTGACCAACAGGAAAGCAAAGGAGCAAAGAAAAGCAACACACAATGCCTACGAAGCCTTTAAAGACTGTTTAAGTTGTTAACAAATATGCAATAACTGCTGAAATAAATGAGTTGGAAAAGATGTACTACATGAAGTAGGAAGATATGCACGTGCACATTATTTTTGGTGGATTTTTGACACTGTATGAATGTAAAAAAATAAAAATAAAAATTGCTGCTAAGCTAAGACTCTACATTAGCATTTGAAGGGCCATATTGCACTGCTGTACAGTTACTATAAACCGAAGCTTTGTTCTTCTTTCTATTTTTAAAGCTCATTTTAAGAAACAGACAGCTGAGTGGATGCTTTAAGAAATGACAAATGGAGAGTGTTTGTCATTTCTCAGTTTGAAGCAGAATTATATACTCTGGCTGAATGCCACATTAACCAGCTGTTACAGGCAAAGAATGTGACACACACCGAGCATAAGCAAAAAGTTTGTTTCAGTAGTCACATACTACACCTTTCTCCACCTGTCTGCTCTGT